ACTCCCTGTATAAATACTGTGATGTTAGCACAGTACAACACTCCCTGCATAAATACTGTGATGTTAGCACAGTACAACACTCCCTGCATAAATACTGTGATGTTAGCACAGTACAACACTCCCTGCATAAATACTGTGATGTTAGCACAGTACAACACTCCCTGCATATATACTGTGATGTTAGCACAGTACAACACTCCCTGCATAAATACTGTGATGTTAGCACAGTACAACACTCCCTGCATAAATACTGTGATGTTAGCACAGTACAACACTCCCTGCATAAATACTGTGATGTTAGCACAGTACAACACTCCCTGCATAATTACTGTGATGCATTCGTGAAGCACTTTACAATCAATGAACTGCGCCGACACCCGCGGTCAACTGAGTACTCACTACTCAGAGCGAGGGTAGCATAGATGCAGCTAACGAGGTTCTCCCCCTTATTGGGCATTGCACCACCTCACCCTCACCGTTTATGGCACTGAATCTGCTACCCTGGTATAATCAATCATGGTGATGGCCTGGCACGAGTGAAACTTCTCTAAGCTGGTCGTGTTTCTCAACACAAGCGTAAGCCGGTGGTAACGCGGATGTGCGAACTTTACTTTTATTTTTACATGTACATGTGCATGTACATGTGAAGGTGCTCATGAAGGTTCTTGTCTTGTTGCTTGTCTTGTTGCTTGTGTTGGTGCTTGTGTTGGTGCTTGTAGGGGTATTGCCGGGGGGGGGGGGGGGATGCTTGTGTTGGTGCTTGTAGGGGTATTTCCGGGGGGGGGGGTGCTTGTGTTGGTGCTTCTAAGGGTATTTCCGGGGGGGGGGGGGGTGCTTGTGTTGGTGCTTGTTGGGGTATTTCCGGGGGGGGGGTAGTGCTTATGTTGGTGCTTGTAAGGGTATTTCCGGGGGGGGGGGTGCTTGTGTTGGTGCTTGTAAGGGTATTTCCGGGCGGGGGGGGGCGGGTGCTTGTGGTGGTGCTTGTAAGGGTATTTCCGGGGGAGGGGGTGCTTGTGTTGGTGCTTGTAGGGGTATTTCCAGGGGGGGGGGTGCTTGTGTTGGTGCTTGTAGGGGTATTTCCGGGGGGGGGGGGTGCTTGTGTTGGTGCTTGCAAAGGTATTTCTTGGGGGGGGGGGGGGGAGTAGGGTGCTTGTGTTGGTGCTTGTAGGGGTATTTCCGGGGGGAGGGGGGGGGGGGATGATGCTTAGGGCCTGGCGGATAATGCTCGGAAAAGTAGCGTGTTCTGCTCGACATTCTGCTCGTATTCTGCCGGTATTGGGCCCCATTCTGCTCGTATTCTGCCTGATTCGACGGACCAAGCTTTAACCCATTCAACGCTAAAGACGTATATATAATTATATGTCTTTTTCAATGCCTAATAAGGAGTGCAGAGCCTCGGTTGAACCATATAACCCTCTGGCAATGGCTCTTCCTGCTCCGCTGCTCTTGTGCGTCGGACTGATAGGCCAAGATATCTGTATATCCACTAGACTACAGTGAGCTATAGGTACATGGTGCTGCGGGGTGGAATGCCTCAATGACTCACTCGTCCATATTGGGGAAATATGCTTGTTGACAGCAGCAGGTATTTTTTTGGTGATCCCGGGCGGATGGTTGATCTGTTTGCTAACGTAGAGGGGTTGTCATTTGGCTTTCGGAGAGGTTGAAATGTCCCCATACCCAGGTTCATGGTGATATGCAAGAAATCCACTACTGTATTTTAAAGTTTGGTTCGATAGTCATTCCCAGGTCAAAGTGCTTGAAGATCTATATCCACGTTGTTTGAGAGCTAGTTGAGCTGAAAAGTGCCCACAACCTTACCAGTCTTGGCACCATCATAGCCGCATATCGTTACATCCAACATACAGTCAACTTTGCTAATGATGACTGCGGATATAACGACAATTCGCGAATAACGACAGAATTTCCATGCCCAGAGCAAAGTCCCATCCAACTGTAATACATATAACGAGACTCGGATAAAAGGACACTTCGCGAATAAGGACACTTTTCTGATGCCCCGCCGAGTGTCGTTAGTTGACTATATGAGCCAGAGCACGCCAAAATGTGACCACAGACCAAAAATTCGATTTTCAGTTTTTTGTTCAAAAATGATCTAACACACCTAATGTTCACTGTCTGAAAGTTTTGGATTGATCCGACATGTCTTAGTGTTGCTACAATGGTATTATATGCAGCACTGTTGAAATGGTGAAATTCTATGTACAGCAATGGGATTGTCAGTTTGCACACAATCGATATGCCCCTTGGTTCATCCTTTCCGGGTCAGTTCCTCTGTCCAGGGTCTTATAGCATGAGCTGACAGGTACTCAGCCACATCCAAATTGTCTATAGGCAGCTGAGCTAGGTGTCCGAAATACCCCCTGTTTGAAGCACCACTGGAGAACCGCCAGCGAAAACACGGTCAACATCTGTAGATGGCCGAAGAAGTTGACACTCGATGTCCTCTCCATCACACTCCACCTGTACTTTCAGATATACAGTATACACTGCTGCACACAGTGTTTCTCAACATACTCGACGTCGCACTCATATTCCCCACACCAAAGCCCATCTGCACACGGCTTTCTCCGCTCACCAGAGAGTACTGCTTTCGCTGCATACTGCTCATGCTAGCGATGTTCCGCATAAGGGTCCTCAAATTATCGACTTGAGCAAGTTCAGGGAGCAGCAGAGTCCAGTGATTGTTTTTACACTTGCAACCAATACTGGCATTGTCCCGGATATGTGCAGCGATGTCCATTCTGGCCAAATCATCGGCCGACTCACCTCCCAAGTCAGTGTCGATGCCAATCGCTTGCCAAGTTGTCATCAGAGTAGAATTCCTCGTCACTGCAGATCGTGGGACTACCAGCATCAATTCTTTTTACGCTCGATGAAAGTGTCGCCCTCAAATGACTCGTCGCTGTAGCCATCATCGTCTTCCTTCTGTTTCCGACTCGAATCCTCAAAATATTTTATCCTGCGCATGGAGTGCGATGATGTCGTCTTCTTCCGCTCCGCAGTACATTACTACTACTAGGCTCTTCTGTCGATACATCGATGACGATCAGTTTTAGGCGACTCAGCGCAACATGGAATAGAAACTCTAACAAATAAACTTACTTGCAACAAAGAATTGCATCCGGAACAGTCCAGTCGACCGAGAAGAACAACAACAGCGACTCGCGTTGCACTGCACTTCGTATTTTTTTGCCGCGGAATTCAAATCGCGATTATCTCGACTTTTTCAAAAAAAGCTGTGGTCATGTTTTAGCGCGCTCGGGCTCATATATTGTCCTTGTCTTATATCCAGGGATGGCCGCTATCATTAAAAGGAGCAATTTTCGGCCGTGAATGATGTCCATATCATGCTGCTTGATTGCAGGGAACTGCTGTGCAAACGATGGAGCAGGGAAAAAAGGATTCGCTCACCAATCAAGGGGTAAAATTCTACCACATCAAAGCATAGGAACATGTGCTGTGCTGCTTGTCTGCTATTAGACCACTCAATCACACGACACAGGACATACAGGACATACAGGACATGGTGTGTCTCCATAGGTTTATTTCTGTTTGGCGACGCATAGCAGCCATAATTCTCTCCGGTACCATGTAGTACTATTCTCTATATAGTTTGGACGATGAGATAATAGAAGAGTAAACTGATGAGGAGTAAGAACATGCACAACCAGCAGGTCAGTGAAACACAAAGAATTCCCGAGCCCTTGAGAGAAGCCCACCAAACGTTCTGGCCTACGGGTGATAGCCTGCATGACGTACATACGGCATGCAGTGCATACGGTCACAAGTGTACAGTGGTTTACGCATAACAGTCAGAATATTACTACATCTCCCCTTTTAAGGTGCGCAGCAAAAAGGAGAGAGAGAGAGAGAGAGAGAGAGAGAGAGAGAGAGAGAGAGAGAGAGAGAGAGATAGCAAAGCAGGAAAAAAGCTAAAGACAAAAGAGTGGCGCGAAATGGCTAATAGAATCTGTCAAGACTGTGCCATGTGAAGAGAAAAAAAGAGTCTGAGAGACATTATGCAAGTATCCTGGCAAACAATCTGAAGTAATAACAGGGTTCAGCATATCTGATGGGTGTGTGGACAGCAAGTCCAGAATGGGTGATTCTACCTTAACCATTAGGAACGGACACACCCACTTCGGACTTGGCCGGCTTAATGAGTCTGTAGGGCAGCGCTCTAGCGAAGTTGTCCTTATCGTCTTTGAGCACTATTACTTAATGCTTCTGACTTAGCCAGTACGTACATGGCAGGATTTAGACCCTCTGTGATCTTCTTTGCCTCGCTGCTGACTTCATCGTATGCTTGCTCAGGCGTGATCTTAGAGTTTTGTTGCTATTGTCTTTCATCAGCTTGCTGTATTGCTCCTTTGCTACTTACTACAGGGTTTGGGTTTTATCGGCTTTCACGATGATTTCCTGAACTGGACTTGCAATATTATGAATGGCTATATGTTAACCTTTACACACTGGCCATATTTTTGATTCTGGTTCTCAGATTTCCATAACCTTGGCCTGTATAGAAGGACCCCTCACTCTGCACAGATAACAATGAGCCCAATCTCAACACCATACTTGTCACATATCAAATACCGCATCACTTGGAATAGGCCACCGAGCTGAATATACCAGCAAATTCCCTCGATGCCAGCCATTTCACACTCATTCATCGCAGAATGCTCCAATTGTGCAACGCTCCATTGTAGCCTATTGGCCATTGTTGCATTGGAGAGCTGCGCTGCTCTTCTTCTTTCCTGGTATTTTGATTGTGAACTTTCGTCAAGAACGGTAGAAGTTGTGAGCATTTCAGTGCAAGCAACTACATCAACCAAAAACAGATGATTTTGTATGGTCTTGTATCAGAGGGTTAAGCTATCTTCTCCACGCCGCTTTTTTATACATTATTCCCTGCAGACAATCTTCATTGCTTGCTCTGTTGTGTGGTTTCATGTTTGTCTTTTACCCGATTTATGCAGACTGCATCTCCACTGGAAGAATCTCTGGGTGCTTCTGCAGGCATCGTTACCACTATACTCGACACTGTGAGAAGTGTGTCAACTGCCGTACGGGATCTCTCCACATCTCAGCAGCAACTAGGCACCAGGTTGGATAATCTCCAGCAGGAGGTCTCGGCTGAAGCTCGCACAACCAACGACAAGATGGATGAAATACAACTGGAAGCCCGGACTGCCTATGAACAAGTCGCACAGCTGAGCGACACAATGGCGAGAGGTAAATCATTTGCTGTCAACATTTCTGCTGAAATGATGTAAACGCTCCGATGTAGTGTCATCATAAAGCAGGGCATGGTGGTTGAAACACAAGTGGGGAAATGGCCGTAAATACATGCCTGCCCACACAACCCTATCTAAAAATGGGAAATTCTGGCACCAGGGTTTCTTCTCTCTCTACAATGATCTGCTTTAGGTTTGTCACATCGCATGAAAGAAGTCAAAAATTGCCCGTTGGGTGATCTATCGTCGACAGAGCAAAGACCTACAGCAACATCACAAACAGGTCCCCGCTCAAGTTACCCTCCAGTATAGCCTTCCATTCACCAGCACTTGGCGCCTTCCACCCACCAGAACCAACTGTTGTGCAGACTCCCCACTGTACAAGTCCCTATAATACTATTGTAGTGACAGACTCCACACTGTACAAGTCCCTATAATACTATTGTAGTGACAGACTCCCCACTGTACAAGTCCCTATAATACTATTGTAGTGACAGACTCCCCACTGTACAAATCCCTATAATACTATTGTAGGGACAGACTCCCCACTGTACAAGTCCCTATAATACTATTGTAGTGACAGACTCCCCACTGTACAAGTCCCTATAATACTATTGTAAAGTCACATGAGCTTATCAGTGAGTGTTTTGCGTTATTTGCTTTTTTTGCGGGTCGTTTTGTCTCACACATAGGCGCATGCGCTTGAGTTGCAAGTGTACCGGTACCATGCACAATTATGCACATATGCACATTTAACCATGTGAACATGGTGTTTTTGTGGTGTGTGTATGTCACCGGGTGGACTGCATCTAGGTTCACTTAGAAGCCCATGCGCTTATTTGTGAGGGCGCGCTTATGCCCGGCACATATAGGCACATGCGCTTTTATGCGCGTCACAACGGTACGATGCCCTCCCTGCTAGCATTCGTGATGTTCCCTCCATCCCTGCTTTCAAACAAGAAACCTGCTCACTGCTGATTAACTCCGTCTGCTCCTGCAATGCACGCCCTCCCCCATACTTGCAAAATTCAAAGTGGCATACATTACTTTCCAACTGCATAACCCACTGCCCCACTCACAGCATCTCACCTTCTCATAAACTGATCTCTTATTGGCGATGGTGCCATCGTGAGAATAAAGAATTCAAAGGTGCGGTCTGTACTTAGCTGAAAAGGAGAAGATGGATCCGCACTGATGCATCCACGCTTCTAAACAAAAACAAAAAAATGTCAAAATATGGACATTAGAATAAGTGAAAACTCTCGAGCACGACAATTCGCGAATAGCGACAGAATTTCCATGCCCAGAGCAAAGTCCCATCTAACTGTATTAAAAAAATATGTCCGCAGATTGAGTAACTGTACTTCGGGTATCAGGACACTTCGCGAATAAGGACACTTTTCTGATGCCCCGCCAAGTGTTGTTATAACCAAAGTTGACTTTAGTCACCTGGCCGCCATTGCTGAGACTTGACTTTCCCCTCTCCTTCTTTTCAACTCACATGTAAATTGACACCATCCGCATCATGTCTCACTAACTTTAATGTTAGACTAAACTAGTTGCCTGGAAATATGTTTGCAGCCAGGTGATGTAGAGGTTATCAGTTGTCAGGTGATCTAGAGTTTATCAGTTGTCTGGGATGTGGAGGTTATCAGTGGTCTGAGATTGCCTTAGTCTTGCTATGAGCTTCAAACAGAGCGTTACAACAATGATATAGCCGGTTGTCTCTGTTTTCTCTGCCTTTGTGTCCGTGTGTGTGTGTGTGTGTGTGTGTGTGTGTGTGCGTGCGTGCACATGTGTGCATGTGTGCGTGCACATGTGTGCATGTGTGTGTGTGTGTGTGTGTGTGTGTGTGTGTGTGTGTGTGTGTGTGTGTGTGCGTGTGTGTGTGTGTGTGTGTGTGTGTGTACTTGTGCATTGGTACATGGGTGCATACACATGTGTGTGCATGTGAGAGAGTGTTTATGTGTACCTATCTTATCATGTATATAGGTGAACAAGATACAACTGCAGCATGTGAACGCATAGTGGAAATGCAAAACCAGACCAACGCAACTGTCTGCCAACTACAGGAGCAAAGTGCTACAACCTCCAGAAGCATTGGACAACTACTGGAGCAAAGTGCTACAAGTATCACCAATATTGGTCAACTGCAACAGCACCAGCAAGACACTAGTGATAAGCTTTCACGTGTCTCAGCAGCTGTTACCACCATTCAACAAGGTGAGTACATTTTTTCCAAGGTCTACAGTAAAACCTATAACTAAAGATCAGTGTGACTAGTGACCAGTCTACCCCTACTGACCAGTGTGACTAGTGACCAGTCTATCCCTACTGACCAGTGTGACTAGTGACCAGTCTACCCCTACTGACCAGTGTGACTAGTGACCAGTCTACCCCTACTGACCAGTGTGAGTAGTGACCAGTCTATCCCTACTGACCAATGTGACTAGTGACCAGTCTATCCCTACTGACCAGTGTGACTAGTGACCAGTCTACCCCTACTGACCAGTGTGACTAGTGACCAGTCTATCCCTACTGACCAGTGTGACTAGTGACCAGTCTATCCCTACTGACCAGTGTGACTAGTGACCAGTCTCTCCCTACTGACCAGTGTGACTAGTGACCAGTCTATCCCTACTGACCAGTGTGACTAGTGACCAGTCTATCCCTACTGACCAGTGTGACTAGAGACCAGTCTATCCCTACTGACCAGTGTGACTAGTGACCAGTCTACCCCTACTGACCAGTGTGACTAGTGACCAGTCTATCCCTACTGACCAGTGTGACTAGTGACCAGTCTACCCTGTAACGGAATAACAGCCATTCCGTTCCCCGGGACGCAGGACACAAAGGACAAGACTGGTTTGTATTACATTATTTGAGCCGGCGCAAGCGAAAAGGGACCTTATCCTGCTGCACGTGATTTGGAGAAAACCGCACTTGAAGTGAATCAGCTGATTCTCAGCTGTCACGTTCGGATCGAACTTGAAACTGTTCGTTTTTTGGCGATACGCGACTTCTTTGGAGCTCAGTCATTCTTTCTATTGGAGAGCCAGTATCCTACAGCTCCTGTAGAAGAAAACCCTGGCTAAATCGACCCACGTACCACCGATCGGCGATCAAAATCGATCGACCGTGACACGTCGACACCTACGCTGAATAGAATCGCACGCGCGAGCGGAAAGACAAAAAGTTGCTTTCACAGTTTCAGCGCAGTTGTCTTGCCGTCTTCGCTTTCTGCTAAGTCCTTGGGTCGGCGTAGCTCTTCACTATGAGCCATCGTAAATGTTTCACTGTGAACGAAGCGCTGAAATCTCTCCTGGAAGAGGATGAGGCTGAAGTTTTTGGTGAGGAAGACGAGTCGGACGCCAGTGATGTTTCGGTTCAATCTGACGACGGCGACGATGATGGCGATGACGATGGTGAACACTTTCTTGAGCAGCGAGTGGATGTCGATGCAGCAGCAGAGCTGTATGTCGGAAAGGCAGAGCCCAAACCTCCGCAGGCTAGCTCCGCAGCAGCTTGTGCAGCGACCGTTGCGCCGGCAGAGGAGGATGACACTGTTTGTCAAAAAGAGAACTGCGGATGTTCAAAAAATTGCTTGCAGCAATTTGACCCAGCTGACATCGAGATGTCGATCCTCAACATGAGAGAAATGGAGTCGCACGAGAGTGAGCTGGTGGTCCTGGGCCTTCTTGAAGCTTTGAGTCATCCTGAGACAGTTTTTGAGAGTGGAGAGAAGCGCAAGAGGGAGCGTTTTACCTACAAATTCCAAGGACTGACTGTTTGTGTGGGTGCGTTCCGTCACGTGTACGCACTGTCTAGCAAGAGGCTGAAACGGTACAGAAGCCACCTGGAGAAGAATGGGCTTGTGCCACTAGTGCACGGCAACACAGGCAAACGGCCACACAATGCCCTGGAGTTTGCTGTTGTGAAGTACTGCGTGGAATACAGTAAGATCGGGCGCCGAAGAACACCTCGCCGAAGAACACCCATGCTGGAAAACCGGCAAAATTTAAGAACAGTCCAAGCTAGAATTATCAGATTTAAGAACACTTTTAAAATTTGGAATTTCCACATGAGTGCAGTATTTAAGTGAGTTAGGACTACATGTACGTTGTCATACATGTACTTACATGAAGTTGCGAATTTACACTTAGATCTACATTGTACATGTATGGGAGGTGAGTACATGTCATGTACACGTGTAAACAGTAACTGCTACATGTACAGTCATTCCCATTTACGACACTCACTAGTTTAGAAGTACTACATTGCACTACATGTACATGTACATGACAAACGTCATGACGTCACTCGACTCGCCGCGCGCGTGTGAATAAGAACGGTCTGGCTAGAATCAAAAATTTAAGAACTTTCCTAGGCTGCGCTCGAGCCCCTGCGTTCTTCGGCGCCCGATCTTACTGTACATCACTGGGCACGCGGAAGTGTTTGGAATTCCACATCCTGCGCCGCTCCGTGGCAGAGACGACACGCCACCTATCTTCCTTCCAGCGTCGCAAACGTACAAGTCCGTGCATGGAGATTTCTGCGACTGCTGCCACAAGGAGGGTAAGAAGTCTGTATCCTTGTCGACGTTCCGCTCAATCTGGCACCAGACATTACCGCATATTAAGTTCATGACGGCTCGCATGGATGTTTGCCCTGTGTGCGAGGACTTGCGGCGCAACGTGATGGCGGCTGGGAGTGAGGAGCAGAAGACGACCGCATGCACTCAGCTGACTGACCATGTTCAAAGGGCCCAGAAGGAGAGAGAAAGCTACCGGCAGAGAACCACAGATGCTGCCGCTGAGCTTCAGCAAGTTTCAGCCATGTCTCCTGCTGATCGCCCGCCGTTAACAAAGTCCCACTACACGTTTGACTTTGCTCAGAGCGTCAGCTTGCCGTATACGGCCAGACAGGTAGGACCACTTTACTTCAAAGTGCCTCGGAAAGTCCACTTGTTTGGTGTATGTAATGAAGGCGTTGGCCAACAGGTGAACTACATTATTGACGAGGCAGAAACCATCGGTCCTGACGGCAAGAAGAGCCACAATCCGAACACTGTAATTTCTTTGTTGCACGACTATTTTTCCACTTCTGTTGCTGATGAGTATGACTGCGACCTACATGCAGATAATTGCGCAGGACAAAACAAAAATAAGTCTGCTATAGCTTACCTTGCATGGCGTTGCATTGTCAATTTGCACAGAAGTATAACATTGTCGTTTATGATAACCGGCCATACCAGATGCCTAGTCGACGGTATGTTTGGCTTGGTTAAGAGGAAATACCGTCGCTCTGACGTGTTCAGCATGCAGCAGTTAGCAGATGTGGTTGACTCCAGCGCTACCTCCAACATCCATCGACGGATCCCGGGCAATGTGACCTGGTTTGAGTGGGATACGTACCTCGCCCGGCTCTTCAAAAAAGTCCCCAACATCAGCCAGCAGCATCATTTCCGGTTCTCATCCGACGAACCTGGAGCAGTGGCAGTGATGGAGCTTGTGGATGGGATGGAAACCAAGGTGCAGCTGTTGAAGACCACACCTGAGCAGGTGAGAGCAGCAGGCCTTCCCCAAGTGTTGCCCCCAGCAGGTCTGTCACAAGAACGCCAGAAGTACCTGTTCAAGGATATCCGCCCGTTTGTGGCAGACCCTTACAAGGATGAGCTGTGTCCGCCTGTGCCGGAGGAATGACAAACTTGCGTAGTGCAACACACGTTTTGAGCCTGATAATTGCTACAGTCTGGTGCTGTGTCAAAGCTACATGCCTCGGAACATTCTATTATTCTTGTATCTAAAATGCGGCGTGCCTGCGTGGTACGGAAGGACGTGATGGCCCATCAGACGTCACGTTTGGCACTATAAATTCCATCACAGTGAAACTTATGCCAACTGCCTAGTAGTGTGTGTATACTGTATCCTCCAGCCCTTCTGCTGGTGACTCGAAGGCTTCTGTAAGGCTTCTACGGCCAAATTATTGCAATTTACGCATTTCAAAGATTATTCGTGAATATGTGCGATGTTTTGGTGAAAACAGTGTTGATTTAAACGTCCGTAACTTTGCTTTATGTTGATGGATTTTCATTCGGTTTTTTTACCTGATTCATACGTTGTCTGGCTACAAGAATCCGTTGCTAACTCAAAATGCCCAAAAAACGGATAAGGTCCCTTTTCGCTTGTGCTGGCTCATTTATATTGACAAGACGGAAAAGCAAACTACTCTGACAGAGACGAACAAGAAGACTGACAAAAGGACTGTCGACTACAACATCGCGCATGCTCATATCACACATGCACGCGACTAGACGAGACAGTTTGGGGAATGCCATACACAGGAAAACAACACATCATTTCACAACACCTGCCCCCTTGATGACATTCCACAAAATAATAAACCGACACCACGTTCCACATGCACAACAGCAAAAGGAACCACAGCAAAACAGAAAAACCAAAACCAACCAACAGCTTACATTGTAGCACAACAAAACTGGGCCACGACACAGGGCCAAACCAAGATACAAGAGCCGACGCTCTAAACTCAGGCACACAAGGATAACCGAAACACGAGAGCCAAAGCTCCAACAAAAATAATAACAATATGCGCGCAGCAGCGCAAAATAAATCTACAACGCAAATTAATGCAGAACAACAGAACGACGAGAAGAGCAACATACCGACAACCAAACTCAACAACACAGCAACCAACTGATCAGCGAGAGAAACACGATCAGACAACACAGCGAGCAAAACAACAACAAGACGAACAACAAAGGACGACACACAGTCGGTGATGCCAGACTCATCCACTGGCCTCTGGCGAGCCACGGCCACACGCTCCATGCGGTACCTGCCGTCCCAGGCTCCAGTCCCCAGCTTCTGCCGGTCCACCACCTTCTCTGCCTCCTCTCCGCGTCTTCTTCCGCTTCCACCAGCTCCTCGTCTCTCCTCCATCCCCACGCTTACTCTCTAGTTGTACTATTACTACTATTAGTTGTTGACGACGACCAACAGACTCATGACAAACTTACTCATCCTCTTCGTCCCGGGTTTCGGCACCACGTTGTAACGGAATCACAGCCATTCCGTTCCCCGGGACGCAGGACACAAAGGACAAGACTGGTTTGTATTACATTATTTATATTGACAAGACGGAAAAGCAAACTACTCTGACAGAGACGAACAAGAAGACTGACAAAAGGACTGTCGACTACA